CAATGCCTTCTGTTCAGCTGCCTTGCCAACATCCGTAAATAATTCATTGCTCTCAGGCTCTTCCACTATCTGTACATACCCTTTGGCAGCGCGACTGCCATTTACCGTGATGAAGCACTGTTTGGACATAATTTGGTCTCCAAAGACCTCTTCAATTACTCCGACTTTGTTGGGGAGCCGCAATACTTAATGATAGGTTGACGCTACCGAACGCATGGCGTGTAACCATGTCCTCCCCAAGATTATGTTGTAAATGGAAGGGACTTTCAATACCCAGGATTCCACCTGTTTCGTCATGGTTCCTACCTTGACTGGGAGGATTATCTTGCCCACTGGCCACTCTGGCATTGAGTTGAATCCGATTAGGGGAGATGTTGTAGGTGCCAAGTATTTGTCCTCCAGTTTCAGTTGTTTGAAGGTTTCGTAATACATTATCTCATATGAGCTTCCTTGGTCGATCAAAATCCGTTTGATGTCAAAATTCTTGACGCATAGAGTGACGACCAGTGCATCATTATAAGGGTAATATATTCTTGCTAAATCTTTGTCTGAAAAAGATATGACATTTGTGGCCTCTGTTCTCTCCTTTTTGATGGCAGGTTGTACACTTAATACCTCCCTCAAGTGCTCAGCCTTTTTGATCATGCCCCTGAGCTCACATACTTGCTCAGGTTCACATATCCCATGTATTACGCTAATCACGCCTTGAGGTGGAGCGTCGACCGGCATCCCGTTTGGGTTGTTATGGTTCTGGGGGGCTGGCTGTGTTCCTCCTTCTATGTACTGGTCCAGGTGCCCAGCTGCCACTAACTCCTCCAGATGCTGCCTCAACGGCGTGCAATTTTCAGTGCGGTGCCCCTTTTCATTATGGAAGGTGCACTAGGACCTCTCATCATAGTCTTTTTGTGTTTCTCCCAACTTTGCTGGCCATCGGACAAATGGTTCATTGCGTATCTCATTGAGAATCTGGTAGATTGGTTTTTTGAACACTATGGTAATGGCAGTGCGAACTCTTAACCTCCTTTTGTTTGGGTCCTCTCTGTTGGCCCGCCTGCCTCGCCCATTCTTGCTTGGTTGTTCTACCGGTTGACTTTTGCTATGGTCTTTTTATCTGGCATTACTATTGTGCCAGATTTTGCTTTAGTACGGGCGCTATCTTCCTCCACGCGAATATGTTGGTGCACTCTCTCCATTAAGGACTCCATCGTGAGGGGCGGCGTCATAGTAATTGAGTCCCTCAATTTGTTACCGATTGGCAGGCCTCGTTTGTATTGTGCAATGGTGAGGTTTGTAAGGCAATCCCCAATTTGGTTGAAGGTTTCCCAGTAGCGACTGTTGTAAGATCTCAATGTCTCCTTGTCGCCCATGTCAATGGAGAGTAACTGATCGATCTCCACTGGTGTTTTGGTGTTCGTTCTGAACCTAGTCACGAACGCCTCTACCAATTACGCCCAAGAGGCAATGCTGCCTTCTGGTAGCCTTTCGAACCAAGTTAGACCTAGGTCGCCAAGGCTAGATGGAAATAGGATGCACATTAAAGCCTCATTTCACCGGTATACTGCCATAACCTGGCAAAAGTGGCTTAAGTGCATGTAGGGGTCAGACTTCCCTTCGTAAGTGGTGAATTTGGGTTGGTGGAAGCCTAAGGTAGTGGTACTTCTCAATTGTCGGAACGAATGGCGAGCTTTGTAACCTTGCTAATACTTTGTCTGCTGGTTCGTAAGCAAGACGCGCCATTGGCATTCCTACCTCGACGCTACCATGCTTCCAAGGGGCTAACCGCTGAAGGGCTGAAACTCTACACGGGTCGCGAGCCCTAGTGTTCTCCTTCCATCGGGCCCTTTCTTCAAGCACAGCTCGCAAGTTAGATGACCTAGGCAACTCCGTGTGCCTAGATGACATCTGGTGCATGTGCGAGGGCCGATAGGTGCTTCCCTCAGTATATGACCTCTCAGTTCTCGGTCTCTCAGACCTGGAGTAATGAGTCCTGGAAGTCCTTGATTGAGTGTCACCTGTTCTAAGGCTCCTACTTTCTGCTTGCGTTGGTGTGGTACGCCTATCATGATCTTTCAAGTGGCAAGGGGGCGTGTTGCCTTTGCACCCCTTTCTTGTCGCCACCCATTTTTCTTTTATCTGGCACTTCATTGACTCCATGTCTGCCGTCATCCTTTTATTAACTCCTCATGCTCCTTCACGCGATCCTCCAGAACTTGAGGGTCCATCTTCCGCCTCTGTCTTTCAGGACTTTGAGAGCGACGAGGGCTGCCAGCCCGCCTCCCCCTTACATCCCTCCAGGGGTTCTGTCGTTGGGGTTCTAAATCCACCATGGGAGGGATAGAGGGTAAGCCTTCGCTCCTCCCACCCCCCTCCGGAGTTTTCCCATCAATAGCTGATTGCGGCAAGTCTTCATTGTGCGCCATTGCTTCCAACTAGAGAGCAGAACTCAATCAAGAGTTTTTGTTCTTTCTGGAATTCCCACAGATGGCGCCAATTGTACGAGCACGAAATAATGTTCTCGTATAATCTTGTTGATCAAGTCTGTGCTCCTCTGTACGTCGCCGCTTTACTCCCTGAAAACACAAACGTGAGCTAGCCGGTGGGTGTGTGCCGGATACCTCTCTGATGCCTAAGTTAGCAAAGTGGACAAATAGGCAAAAGCTCTATGTATTATGAGAATCAAAGTTGTGTTACCTCTACATAGGTTATGTTGTGAGCTTTTATAGGTTCCGCGTGGCACAATCCTAGTAGGACTCTTACTCCTCAAGATAGAGTCCTCCTATGAATCATATTCCTGAAAGATGATACTTATCCTTCAACACCCCCCTCACTGCTTAAACCAAGTAAGATGGTTTTACCTCGGTTGGATGGCAATATGATCGAGCTAACACTAGCCCTTTGTCATACTTAATCCAGCGCCTTCATATGCAACACATAACACGACTCTTGTTCACTTGTACCTCAGTTTTGTCTGTTAAGACCGAGTTAACTACAGCAAGCTTTGACTGGGCTGACAAGAGCAAGGTCCACCTAAAGAAGCCCAAAACACCTCGACTCCGAATACTATGACCGAGCTAATTATCACCACTCCGACCATGGTGACTGTAACCATACTTGGACCGAGCTTAAGAGCAAGATCCACTTTGCTAAGCCCTTTTCACCGCGGCCCATAGATCGGCCCATTACTATGCCTGGGCCTAGCTCAGCCCTAATATAAAAACTCCCTCTCAACAAGTGTCGAATGTGTGACACACAGCTTTGATCATATATATATATATATATATATATAAAGAAATGGTTCATTCATAATCAACATCGACCATGTGTTGGATCAACCACGTTAATTTAGGTAGATTCAATCAAATTGAGAGTCTATTTAAGCTCAGCTTCAAATATGAAGGGATCTGTCCAAATTTAAGTTTCAGTTCGTTGCATAGACTGTAATATGGCGTTTTAACCTTTGTATAATGACAATAAGAACATAACTTGATTTAATTATTAGGGCACGTAAACTGTAGGTCACTAAATTACGAATTGGGGTGGTTGTTGTGCGAAGTGCACAGTAGCCACTGTTGTGCAACCAAACAGGCCCATTTCGAGACCCATTTTAATAATCCGAACCGTTCACATTTTAGAATACATCAAGTAGAATATATCAAGTAGAATATACCTACAAAAAATTAAATTAATCGGATATCGTTACCCATTTATCTACTCACATTTGTATCTACAAAAATAAATAACAATTATAATATAAAGTATTAAAATGAATACAAATGTGAGTGGATGAATAGGTAAACCATATTCGATTAACTTGTGTATGTTTTACTTGATATATTCTAAAATGTGAACGGTTCGGATTATCAAAATAAGTCCATTCGACTACACAACAGTAACTGTTGTGCACCCAGCACAACAACTACCCCAAATCCTTCTAATTAACTGCATATAAATGTTCACATGGGGATTCCTGCAGGACATGCTCGCACCCTCCTCTACATATCTTCACTTTTTCGCCTTTGATTACTTTTTTTTGTTTTTTTTGTCTCATAGGGTGGCCGAAGTCAAATTAATTTTTATACAAGTAATATTGCATAAATTAATAAATTTTATAATTTTTTTATTAATTAATGTAATATACTTTCAAATTATTATTATAGATCATGTTTCAAATACCAAATTTTATTATTGTATGTCACATTCATAAATAAAAATAATAATTATTAAATCATTAATTTGTATAACGTTTCCATCTTATAAAATCATGGCAACTCTAGTGGTCATTACACTGTCAAAACTATAATTGAGCATGTTATAGAGAAACTCCAAACTCACAAGGTTTGGCAAATTCAGCTTCAAGTTTGGTAAAGTCAATTTTGCTTTTGAAGTGTAAATCCTATGATATGACCAAAAACTGATATAAGAATTGTGTAAAATCAACATGTGCCATGGAATGGTATGGTAAAAACAAAATGAATTTTTGCACTATGACGAGTCAAAAAAAATAGAGAAAATTTTCGTGAGTCTTGATATGGTAATGAGAATATTATTCCAATCTCTAACATCTAGAGAAACTTATCCTTTGATACCAATATTTAGTCAATGCTCACTTAATGTATTTTGTTATTTTTACCGCAACTTTTACCGCATAAATTATAAGTGGGATACAAAATCCAAAAATAAAATGAAGCCATAAGTTGCCAGTTCAAAGTGCAACAAACAAAATAAATTGAACATCAAGAGAGAACTCCTGATTTGAGACACAGTATATATCCAGTAGTCAATAATCACTCAATGGAAAAAAGAAAATAAACAAGAAAAACAGCTGTGATACAGAGCACTAGGTGTAGAGCACTAAATTGAGCTCTACATAGCTGGCAAGGGTTAAAAAAAAGGGAAAAAGACAAATCATCATGAGGAAAAAGACAAATTAGAGCTCCCTTAGAGCTCTTAATTTAGAGCTATTAAACATTTTTGTAAGAAAAACTATCACAAACATCACATTGTTCCAACCACTAAACAATTGTGTTGATGATAATAATTTTAGGTCAAAACATGACACCATTACCAACTAAATCAGTATGGGATTGACCAGAGCACACACAATGACTTCATCTACAAAAAATAAAAATAAAAGTGATTAAAGGAAATAATATTGTTGCTTAACTGAACATTATCTAATAATTAGTCCTCTTTCCACCAAAAAAACAAAAAAGTGAAGATCATACATTATTTGCCTAATTTCTGCAAAATAAATACAATTGCACAAATTTCATAAATCAACAAGTTACTCTACACAACTTACTTGGCCCCTTCCTCAACGAATCCGAAGCAACAGGTAGTTCAATTCAATTCATCAAATGATATTCATGATTCTTCGAAGTCATGAACGCGAACATTCAGTCTTCGAAGCCAGATCGAATGAAGTATCATGTGGAACACGTCAAACCGCTTTACAGGCAAGTTAACCTCAAAGTGCCTCCTTACTTGCAGCCCTCTTCTCTGCAACCTTATGTACTGCCTCTGAGAAATTCCCATTAAAATAGTCTTAAGGTTCGGAATGTCCTTCACCGAAACCTCAACCGAGAACAACTTCCAGTTTAGAACATCACTAAATGGTGCCACGTAATGGTCCTTCATGAGTATCGGAACACAACCCATGTAGAGTGCCTCGACCATTCGTGGGCTTGCTACTTTATAACCGCTCGCGCAAATATAGTACTTGCTTTTTCGCATCATCCCATGATATGAAACGCCCTTGGGAAGGTACTTGTGAACTTGTACATCTTCGTCCTTGTTTTCCCAATGATAGAGAAGAATTGGCCTAATTGGGCCGTGGACCCCTCCAGCGAAGAAAACCAAGATTGGGCGTCGCGAAGGGGATGGACCTCCAAGTAAGCGATTTGTCGTGCCATCCGGGAGAAGGATTTCTGGAAATGATACATCTTTCGAGGGATTGAATCCTTCCGAGGTGTTTGCATTGCATAGAGCCCGAATGGAATTTTTGTATAGGTAAGGAACGGAAGAGGAAAGCTCTGGCCCCTGCAACACAACATTGCCAAAAATTAATACATTGTTTGAGTCATTCGGATATTTTTTTTGGGTACATTAGAGAAAATAGAAAGTCGAACGCATGACCTCCTAATGAGTAACACAAGGCCATTGGGCTAAGCCAGATTGTTGTCCTACTTGGTTACTATATATAATTTACCAGTATATAGAGAGAATGGATAGTTGCACAAAATCCAGACACATAAAATACACAAAGTATAATGTGTAACTGAGATTCATATCGAGTGCTACGTGGATTATATTTAAAATAAATCCAAACCACACAGTGCACTTTCTATGCATTTTTGTGTGTTTTAATTATGTGCAAGTAACACTATTGATAGAGAAATCATACACAACATATTATTTTCATAATGCGAGACTAATACAAGCAAAACAACAATTCCTTACCCAATCATGACAAGCAAGCATGAAATGATCGGCCCCAAGGCTTCGATTCCAATAGTGGTATTTCCGCGCAATGAGATTGACATAATCATTGACTGTTTGTTTCATCGGAGCCCAATCATGGGACTCACGCACATAAATGAAGCGAACCATAGATGTCACACTGAATGGTAGAAAAAAGACATGGGCTTTGTCAGGATCTCTTGTGCAGAACTGGTTAGTAGAGGCCGGTCTTCGGATCGGGCGAAAGGGGGTGCTCATAGCTGACCTTCCCCGATCGTACCCAAGCTCCTGAGCCGAGACAACTCCGGTGATGACGGACATGTGGCCTTTGGCACCGAGTCAGGGTTTCCTAAATTCCCCCATTTTAAAATATTTAGGTGGCGACTCTGTATCTGGCAAAGCAGTCCATGTTTGGCACTACTTTTTCAAAAATCTGTTTCTCAAAACGATTTGCCAGATTTGGACTCTTTGGTTCAGATTAAGAACCGCGACAACAAAAATCGCAAGTCCGAACTGTAGTAGCACGAGGCCCACGCGGGCGCTGTTACACCAAGCTCGCCAGTAGCCATCGATCAACGTCCCACACATCCGAGAGGTGGAGCTCATGTATCCATAAAGAGTGGTGAGGCTGGCCGCGCCCCAATCGTAAAAACGGACCAGCTGGAGTACCACTAGAGCGCCCAAGAAGTACAAACCCACAGTATTCCACCGGTCTGAAAACAAGGTGGTACCAAAAAGGAACAAGAGGAAGCCCCTGGCGTACTTCTCTGCCTCGTCATCAGTATCGGGATCCTCCCTTCTGTAGTGCTCCTCGAACCAAGTGTATCAAACCATGCCAGCTCAAAGAGTAGGTGGACGTGCTCCAAGCAATGTGTCCCAAGCAGCTACCCACTCTCCCATGTCAGGATTACGGGGAATCGGATCACCTCCTACGCCCAGGCCAGTGATCATGGCAAAGTCGAAAGGAGTCATGGTCATCTCTCCTGCCGTGGAGAAGTGGAAAGAGTTGGTGATGTCCCACCACCTCTTCACAAGAGCCCCTAGGACAGGGCGACTTGCTGTAACCCATGTCAAGCTACAGCAAAATATGCCAAAGCCGGTCCCGTCGATGATCCGGCGGACCCTCATGGGAAGTACATCATACTAACCCCGAGCAGTCGTAGCACCATAACCTCGGAAGGAACGGGATCCATCCTATTGAAAATACAGTTCAAGACAGATCAGTAGTGTATTGAAAATACAGTTCAAGACAGATCAGCGATGTATTGGAAATGCAGTTTAGATCAGATCAATGATGTATCGAAAATACAGTTGCGTGCAAATCAGTGGTGTATCGAAGATACAGTTGAATTCAGAATAGTGACGCCTGAGGTGCGCTTGTATACATCACATATAGAGCAGGGATGCGTGAAATACAGTTCAATGCAGAGCAATAATGTATGAAATACAGTCAGGTCAAAGCATGCGATGCGATCAAATTGAAACAGTGCAAGAAATGCAAATAGTTAAAAGTAATACTGCAGAAAAGCAGAGTTTGTACCTCCACAGCAATGGCCGACAAGTGAGACATCGGCTCCCTCAGTAAGAGGTCGTCTGGCACGCCCTCAGCAAGAGGTCGTCTGGCACGTCCTCATCAAAATCAGTAAAAGTGTGGATGTCTCCCTCCGCCGGTATAATGTGAGTCTCCGGATGATACCTTGTCGGGTCGAAGGGACGAATGCTTAATGGTAAAGGCTGAGGCTCAACCTCTGGCTCAGCCGCAAAGTCTGCTGCCAACTCTACTGGAGGAAGTGTGGGGAAGCCCTCATCATATGGGACATCATCAGCAATCTAAGATAGATGCAAAATTGAGCCAAAATGAGCAAATGATAAAGTTTTAAACAAACCAAAACCCTAAGAGAGAGAAAATTCAAGAAAAGTTGAAAACCTGGGGAAAGTGAACTAACCTCGAGAGAAGTTCGGCGGAAATGATCCTTGAACGCGGGAAATGATGAAAGAAGCCTCAGATGTAATTTCTGATCGGTTCAAATTGAAGAAAACCAAGAGGTTTTAACGATTCAAAATTGTTTAGGGTGTTGGGAAACGCGTAGAATGTGCGAATCTAGAGAGAAGGCACACCTAGAGGGCAAGGAAAATGTTTTTTATGCAAGGGTTTGTGAGGAAATGGGTTAATTTTGGGCCTAGTTAAAGACCCATGGTCGAAAAGAGCATTTTGCCCGAATCTGCCACCAATGGCCAGCAAGGGCACATCGATGGCCGGCACAACTCCATCGATGGTCGGCGGTAGCCGACGGCTCTCCCTGATGGCCAGTAGTCCTCCACCAGCTTCCTCTGCCTATTTGATCTTGGTATGTGTCCCTAGGTTCCAACAATCCTAAGGAATGCTCAAAATTTGATTCAAAACGCCTCCTTGGAAACCCGGGAATTGTGTCCTCAATGAACGGTGGTTGTCGCCTATCAACGCGCACAAGGTGTATCCTTTTTGATGCATCACAAACCTTCCAAGAAGTGGACCGGAAGTCCCCTTTCAAGATGTCTTCATTAAGCATGTTTTTTGTCGTTGTCACCTAGCATTCACTTATTAAATTAAACACCCAATCTTTATGTTTGCATTATCTTACATCTAGTTTATATTTGCATTGTCTTGCATCTAGTTTATATTTGCATTGTCTTGCATCTAGTTCAAATCTGCATTGTTTTGCATCTCATCAAATCTGCATTGTTTTGCATCTCATTAAACTTGCATTGTCTTGCATCTCATCAAATCTGCATTGTTTTGTATCTCATCAAACCTGCATTGTTTTGCATCTCGCATTACACCCTTATTTAACTTGCGCTGTTACGCTTGTTATTTTGCGTTGTTTCGCACCCTTATTTAACTTGCGCTGTTACGCTTGTTATTTTGTGTTGTTTCGCACCCTTATTTAACTTGCACTGTTACGCTTGTTATTTTGAGTTGTTTCGCACCCTTCTTTAACTTGCGCTGTTACGCAAGTTATGTACGTTGTTAAGCACTTATTTTCCTAACTTGCGCTGTTACGCAGGTTATGTGCACTGTTACGCAATTATTTTCTTTAACTTGCACTGTTACACACTTATTTTCTTTAACTTGCGCTGTTGCACTGTTACGCAGGTTATGTGCACTGTTACGCACTTATTTTCTTTAACTTGCACTGTTACGCAGGTTATGTGCGTTGTTACGCACTTATTTTCTTTAACTTGCGCTGTTACGCAGGTTATATGCGTTGTTATGCACTTATTTTCTTTAACTTGCGCTGTTACACAGGTTATGTGCGCTGTTATGCACTTATTTTCCTAACTTGTGCTATTACGCAGGTTATGTGCGCTGTTACGCACTTATTTTCTTTAACTTGAGCTGTTATGCAGGTTATGTGCGCTGTTACACACTTATTTTGTCACAACCTGAACCCGCCCCTATGGGTTAAGGTCATAACCGACCAGTAATCGTGTGATTACCTACGGCCTCAAACCAAATAAGTCAAAACTCATTAGAGTAAAAAAGGGCCAAACGGAAGCAAATTAAAACTTTGTCCATAGAGCTGTGCTTATATGCACATCCAAAACAAACCACACTTATGTTCGTTAATAACTCACAACAGAAACATATTACCAACAGTTATATACAGACAGGATCATTCAAAGTAAGCCAACCCATCTCGAACTATCTACAGATATACACAAAGTCCTCGCCAACATGACAAAATACAGGTACATAACAAAAGGGCGAAGACTGGTCTCGTGCGTGAGACACAAGGGCTGACTCTCCAAAACCTTTGTTGTTCCTCACGTACTTCACTGGGGCTGGGTTTGGACTTCCTTCGGCTCACCTACAAACACACGAATGAGCGTGAGTGATAGCCCAGTGAATAATATCAAACACAGAAGCTACACAACCAATATGTAGAACAACATGCTCCAAATGGCCTTAGGCCCAATTCATATTTATATTTAATATATATATATATATATATATATCTATACGAAGTTTAGACCAAGTGCTTGTAGTACCAAACATACTGGCCTTTGGCCCATTCAGATTTCCATTCATGTCAAAACGGCCTTCGGCCCATTCATTTACGTCAAAACGGCATTCGGCCCATTCATTTATGTCAAAACGGCCTTCGGCCCACTCATTTATATCAAAACGGCCTTCGACCCACTCATTCGTGTCAAAACGACCTTCGGTCCATTCATTTATATCATGTTAGACTTGTGTCCACAATCCCAATTAGCAACTCATGAAGCTTATAAGGGAATAAACAATTGGACATTGACAAGCTTTCAAATATCGATATTACTCACAGTGATCGGCTTGTGGATTTGCCCTGGAGCTTGACCCTACACATTTCATGAACACAAAAGGGTCACTAACAGTTCAATCCGTTCTTTAATTCACATATTCCTCTTTAGGCTTTACTCTTATCTGTTTAACTCATTTATAATGCTTAACATATGTCTAAGAGTTCTTACAAGTGAAAGAGAACGAAAAACGAAACACAAAACAAACATACAAAATTTCAGAAAACAGGGTCCCTGCTCGAGCGGACCCAAGAGGCTTGCAAAAGTACTGGTTACCTCAAAATTACGCTCGAGCGTGAGTTAGGGCGCTCGAGCGGAAGGCCTGTCTACAAAAGCTCCCCGCTCGAGCGTGAAATATCCCGCACGAGCAGGTATCCAACTCTGCAAAAAGTGCTGGGAGCACGAAATTTACGCTCGAGCGGCAGTTTCCCCGCTCGAGCGGACACCAAAATTCTGGGAATTCCAAATTGTGTTCTTGAGCTCCCTTCAAACATTCCAACCACATTTCCTGCATAACATGGCTCTAACTTCACCTATATTTGTACTAACATGGTATAAACACCAAAACACATCATGATGGAGCTCAATTTCATGAATTAACCACATGCATGTCCCAAATTGGCACTAAACTCAACTCCAACATAACAATTTCATACATTCAAGCTCATATCTTCAAAAATTGTACATGCATGTGATGAATTAGCCACATTCTCAACTTAGATAGTACAAATGGTGATCAAAACACGAGTTTCAACCAAAACTCTACATGAATCATGTATTTCAAGCTTATACATGCTATTTCAAAACAATTTCTTACATGCATGCATATATCAAGCTTTAATTCCAACAAAACCAACTTAACTCATGCTCTTGGTCACAAACAACCCTTGAACACACAGGATCACACATTAATTTCATAAATTCAAGAATCAGTACTTACCTATAAGCCCAATCTATGGCTAATTCTTGAACTAGACTCCAAATCTCCAAGCTTGAGTCATAAATTACACAATTCTCTCCCTTTCTCTCTTTAACAGCCGGCTTTCTCTCCCTTTCTCAAAGTTTGATCAGCCAAAATGAATACATAGGAGAGAATGGGAAGTGTAGTGCCCTTACCCAACAATTTCCACTAACTCTTAATAATAATAATAAATAATTGGGCACCAATTTACCAATTTAATCAACTTAATCTGGTCCGAATCAGTTTTTCAATTAAATTTCACCGTAGGCTCTAAAAATTATGCCAATCACAATGGCGTAATCGATTCCGGGTTTTGTGGACGATAAGGCCCTCAATTTAATTTCCAAAGCAGATTATTCAAACAGATATTCCTATGGTGAACAGATAAAACTTCAAAATCACATATATTCGCATAATGGCACACAAAATCATATCAAAACATATAATCACATTCTTATTTGGGACCAATTAGCATACAGAATAGGGGTGTCATATATTTTCTTTAACTTGCGCTGTTATGTAGGTTATGTGTGCGGTTACGCACTTATTTTCTTTAACTTGCGCTGTTATGCAGGTTATGTGCGTTGTTATGCACTTATTTTCTTTAACTTGCGCTGTTACACAGGTTATGTGCGCTGTTACGCACTTATTTTCCTAACTTGCGCTGTTACGCAGGTTATGTGCGCTGTTACGCACTTATTTTCTTTAACTTGCGCTGTTACGCAGGTTATGTGCGCTGTTACGCACTTATTTTCTTTAACTCGCACTGTTACGCAGTTCATGTGCGCTGTTACGCACTTATTTTCTTTAACTTGCGCTGTTACGCAGGTTATGTGCGCTGTTACTTACTTATTTTCCTAACTTGCGCTATTACGCATATTTTCTTCTTTAACTTGCGCTGTTACACATGCTCCACTTCTTTACTTGTGCTATTACGCATGCTCTACTTCTTTACTTGCGCTGTTACGCATGTTTTATTTCTTCTACTTGCACTGTTACGCATGTTTACTTGCTTTACCTGCACTGTTACGCATGTCATATCTTAAACTTGCGCTGTTACGCATGTTTACATGTTTTAACTTGTGCTGTTACGCATGCTCTTATCTCTTTAACCCGCGTTGTTACGCATGTTCATCTCTTTAACCCGTGTTGTTTCGTATGTCTTACCTGCGCTGTTATGCATAGTTTCTTCTTTAACTTGCGCTGTTATGCATCCTTTGCTTTCACTTGCGCTGTTACGCATGTTTACATGTTTTAACTTGCGTTGTTACGTATGCTCTTATCTCTTTAACCTGCGCTGTTATGCATGTTTATCTCTTTAACCTGCGCTATTACGCATGTCTTACCTGCGCCGTTACGCATGTTTTATTTCTTTAACTTGCGTTGTTACGCATGTTTTACTTGAGTTGTTACGCAGGTTATGTGTGCTGTTACGCACTTTTTTATATCTTGCGCTGTTACGCATGTCTTACATGTCTTACTTGCGCTGTCACGCACACATCTCTATTCTGCGCTGTCACGCACTTCCCTTTAACTTGAGCTGTAACGCATGTTTTACTTGCGTTATCACGCACTTTCCGCTTGCATTGTTATGCATGATTCTACCGATATTGTACCTGTTGAGTTTCTTTCTTTTACAGGCACGATATTGTATGTACAGTTCATTTGGAAGTTGGCACGACCAGACGAACCGGACGGTATTCTATTCACTCCGCGTGAGACGTGGTAAGAATTGCATAATTTTCTTACATTCTTTATGTCGAAATATGTAGGACTGTTATTTGTTTGCTTAAAATGCCGCATTTATTGTATATGATTGCTTCATTACAGTTTTTCTTTGCATAATCATAAGTTATGCTGTCGCATCTTGCATGTCATTTGCATTTTGCCCCAGCCTACGGGCGCATCTCTGCATGCTCATATTGAACGTCTGCCTGAGTTTTCGGCCTTGTTAAAAATGGGTCGTCTCTAGGCTTTGACACTCACTCCCGTCACTTTGTGACTTTCGAGTTCTGTCAAAGAGGGGCAACTGTAGACACCCTATTTTTGACTGTCCTCAAGACTCGGTTGTGCTTGCAGGTACATCCAGCCACAAGTTCGATTGCTCATCGGGTATTCGACTTTCGCAGCGGAACGTCACAGGTTCGAGCTTTCCAGACCCTGTATCCTTTCTGCCCCATTCTTGGACCATGGTTTGGTCCTTTCAGAGTGCGTTTCTTAGTGTACTGCCGGCCACCTTTTGGACCTGCCGGCCATGCCTTTGTTTCT